GGGGCCACCCAAAGTGGCGGCCGTGAAAGGGGCGGGCCGAGGGGCCAGGGCCCGGGCAGCTCTGGGTGTGAAGCTGAGGAGGGGGCAGGGCGACAGCGTGGGGTGCGCCTCTGAGCCGGGAGGGCAGACATGGGAGGCTTGAGGAGGACGACGAAGGGATTTATGGAGTTAAAATGGAACAGATTGAAAGGGTCATGGGCTGAGCAGTGGCTGGTGGGTTTTAGGAGCTCGTTCTGGGGTGAGACGGTTAGGTTTAAGGGGAGTTTATCGGTGGGGAGGTTTATGGTGAAAGGTGATTTCCGGGTTTATGGAATATAAAGGGTTAAGAGGAGTGTGGGGGCTTGTAAACGGATTAGTGGAATTCATAATGGGAAGTTTTGAGGGCAGATAATGGAGAATGTGAGTTGTGGGGAATGGTACCTGGGAATGAAGAGATGGGCGATTCGGTGTGGGAACCATCAGAAGTGGTTAGTGGGGAAGCTGTGAAGAAGCGAAGGACCCCTTTTTTTGTTGTTAATTAGGCAAATATCTTTTAGACACTATATTCAGAGCACCGAGCTGGATGCTGACATTGTCCCTGTTCTCAAGCTCATGGTTTGAGGGAGAGAACCTGAGTGCAAAAAACTAAGCATCAACTGTGAGAAAACCTGTAAAGAAAGGGATGGCACGCTGCAGGAAACCAGGTGGAGAGAGCACAGTACCTTCAAAGGCCCTGGAGGTGGGAAACAGCGGAAAGAAAGCAGAGCCAGGGACTGAAATTCCCGAGTTGAGAGCTTGGGCAAAGGCTGGAACTGGGTCACACGGGGCCTACAAGTCTCAGTTGCCCTGGGAAAATCACAGCAGTTTTAAGACCACTGCCCCACTTACCTCCATCCACCACTGTCATTCAGCCATGATGGGTAAAATCGGCTTCACAAGGCAGCCCTTGTCATTGGGGCCTGCTCAAATTATTAGAAAATAGGAAAGGACTGAAGTCCTTTTGAAGGATGAGGCCTCGTTGAATGGGGCCTGTTTCGGGGAGAATGATGGTCTGTGAGGGTAGGACCATGGTCTGGTCGCGTGGACTGTAGTCCCTAGAGTCCTCTACAAAGCCAATTGAACAGCAGCCCCAGGAAAGAAGAGGCGGAGTAAAAGGTGGACGTAGCATTCATTTTGTTCTTCAATCTTTCTTTCCTTTGATTCTTCTGGAATGTCAACTTTTTCTGCAGTTTCATAACCTCTCCCCGAAAGTTAGGGGGAGTGTCATCCCACCATCACCATGTTCATTCTACTTCTGGGAGCATGCTAGGTGCTAGGGAAACCAAGATGGCTAAGGTATTTGTTCTCTGCCCTCTTGGAGCTCATTGAGAAGCAGGGTGTGTGGGAGACTAATTTATAAATAGTTGTCATATCAAGAGTATGCTGAGAAGAGGTAACTCCCTGCACGGAAGAGCTGGACTGGGAGAGGGTGTCTTTGTGTGATGCCCTGTTCACTAGACTGGTCCGAAAGCAGGGTCTTTGTTGTACTTTCCTGTGTACAGTGGCACCCAGCATGCATGTAGTTTTGTGGCACTTAGATTCTAGAAGAGTTAGCAGGAAATAGGTTCTTCATACCCAGGAACCACAGAAGCAGTGCTCTTGGGTTTGTGGAGCTACCCATGATCCTTCTGTCCTAGGCAGAGAGTCACTTGAGCTCTGCCCAGCTGTGACCTTCCTCAGGCACTTGTCACCCCAGCACAGCCCCAAGGCTGCTGTTTTTTCTTGTAGCAATCTCTGAGACTCCCCTAGATAGGCTTTAGAATAAAGTGCAGTCAGTCACCTCTTCCTTGCTCTTCTTGAAGGCAGCACTTTTTCTTTTAAGGCTAAGAAATTGAGTAGTGGAGCTTTGCATGCTGACAACAAGGCTGTTAGATAGCTGGTTCTTGGTTTCTTTCTGCAGTAGAAAGACCCCCTAGGACTTTTATTTTGAGACTTGGAAGCTTAGAATCTGCCCCTCTTCTTTAGAGGTAGCCTTTAGAAGAACTCAGAGTCCCCTAAGCCCAGACAACAGTCTTTAGTCCTCAGGTGGGCCCTTTGCTCCACTCTGGAGCAAACAGCTTGGGTGGGTCTTTTCCTCACAGTAAACTGTGCAGCCTGGTAGATTATCAACCCAGAAGGTTGTGCCAGCTGACTGGGTGAGGCCTTCTCACAGTGTGCCTGCTGACCCCTTCGTAGTCCCTGTAGCTCACCTGGCTAGCAAGAATTAGCTGTGAGGCCCTCTCAACCTGTTTTGTCCCCTTAAGTATGTTTAAAGAAGGAGAGCACACCTGCTCTCCTTAAACCTAGATTGTTCTCTTTCTACGCTATGAAAGTGCTTGTGCATAATTTATTTTGTCGTTATAACTAAGTAGTCTTGGGATAGCGAACTGTGTATTGTTTTTCCTTTTGATTATCCAGATAGTGGAGGGATATCGGGAACTGTAGGATGTACCATCTTAGTTTAGATTCAGCCCAAGTCAGCTGGAGACTTCCTGTGTGAGGGGTGACCTATCTCCTTGAATGATCTTGTGACCTTCTTAGCCTACACCCTGAGCTATTCCTAGGGAAGGGATAGTTCCCCGTCTTCTGATTTGAACCTTTCACTGATCACGTTCTCATTCATTTTTTGTATGGGATCAGTAAGGCAGAAATTTTAATCTTATTTGCCAAGGATTGTCTGAATATTTTACTCTATCATGCATAGCTTTATTTGTTCGTAACAATAAATTTTATAGCACTTTACAGTTTACATAGGTTATTTCATTTGCATCTCTTCGCTACCTTTCTGAGGGGTTTAGGAGGGTTATCAGACTAGGGTTGAGGGCTCCTCCGTTAGGATTGTCAGGCTCCAGAGTTCTTCCTCTCAGGGTCCTTAGCCAGTGGTTGAGTCATGGGCCCTTTTGAAAATCAGTTGCAGGCTCTGGGTCCTCCTCCACACCCCAAACTGTGTGCTCATTCATCACACCCTTGGGGATCCTCAAGCCTCAGATGCCCTGGAGCCTAGAAACAGCCAATCATCAGAGGCTGGTGGACTCCTCTATTGTCCAGTAATGAGATTCCTAAGAAGCCAGTATGAAAACTCTAGAGCTAGGAATGGCTGAGTGGTGAGTTTTGGAAACCTGATCAAAAAATGAAGCAGAAATGGTCAGCAATGTCATCCTGGAGACCCAGGCTCCATACCTGATGTTCTGGTAGAAGCAGCTGAAGAGGACTGTCCCTTCTTCCAGTCATTCTGCATGTTGGAACGACAGGTGGGTTGTGTTGCAGCACTGGCAGATTTGGCAGTCGAGGTCGCTTCTTGACCCTTTGCAGGTGCATGCACATACGTTAGAGAGCTGCACAGTCCAATGTGGTAGTCATTCACCATGTGTCTTCCTAAATTTAAATAAATAGACATTCAATTCTTCAATTGCACTAGTTGCATTTCAAGTGCTCAAGAGGATACCACATTAGCTCAGATAGAGAACATTTCCATCATCACAGAAAATTCTCCTGGACAGTGGTGCCCTAGAACAGTGCTTCTTAGGCTCTGCATGCAGCAAATGTCTGTGGGATTCTTACTGCAGCTCAAGTTGTGATGTGGTAAGTCTGGGTGTGGGGGTAAAGAGTCTGCATTTTTAACAACCTCCCAAGAGTACCAATGCTGCGGATCCCAGACAACACTTGGAGAGGTCAGGCTCTCGGGAGTGCAGATGGTAGCATCCTGTTTTTCAGTGTTCATAAAACTGTTTGGCTAATGGATGGTTAATCTACAAATGAAAATTATTTTTGAGCCTAAGTTGTATTTGTGGGCACAATGGATTTTAAATTAATCACAGGAGTCACATAATTAGCATTATTTTTCCTGCTTAATATAGCAAGAAAAGTAGAAATGAAATTCAGAGAATAGTTTATTTTTTTTTCCTCTAAATGAAAAAAAAAAACATGAGGCCCTGTTGTTTCAGGGTCTTTTTATATTTTCAGGAAATCGGGTTTTAGAGGTTCCAGGGTGATTTCCATATTTCCTTTGTATAGTCTAGAAAACCACAATTTAAACTTATGTTGTTTGTAGATCTTGAGTATAATAGGAAATGACCATTGGGGAATGGTAATGAGATTTAGGGCAAAAAAAACTTTACATATAGCGGATAAAAGTATGTCGGAGAATGGTCACTGTTACACGTTTTAGGAGCAAGCAATATGGTATGTGGAGTGGTGTGCCTGAAACTATAAAGAGTAGAAATTGGCTTTTAGGCAACATTACAGGTACTACGTTTAGGGCTTTGATAGCATTTCTTAGGAAGAAAATTCTCTGGACTTTTTTTTATTTGATTTTTACATACATGACTTTCTGAGTATTTTCTACCAGTAGAAATTTGCGTGACTTTCTAGTGTTTCTGCAGATTGACTTTGCTTATAATATGGATTAAATTCTTAATTATTAGAGATGGTGTAATTTTGACTGTCCTTAGAACTTACCCAAAATGGCAAAGCATAAACCGTCCACTGAATGGTGTGCCCCTCATCTCAGTGCCTCAGGAATACTAAATAAGGGGACATAGACCTTTAGAAGTGCACGTTAATGCTTGTCAGCCTCAGCTTTCAGCACATCGTTCAAAGAATGCAAGAGGTCAGAGGAGGAATTTATGGTTTGGAATTTCCCAAAGCCAGACGGCATTAGCATGAGGGACTCTCTTAGTTCAAACCTGGGAGGTAGAATTTGCGTTGAAGTTTTCTTTTCCATCATCCTTAAAGGAGCTTCATTAGAGACCAGTCGACAGAGTGTCTGCAGTCATTGTTCTTAGCCCGCTTGTAGGTTTTGGTTTTGAGCTTTGATTGACATGCTTAGCTTGGCTTGGTCTCGTGCCAGAGGAAAGTCTTGATGTCCTTGGTGCCCTTCAAGTTGAGTTTTGTTTTAAAATGATTTCCCAAAGCTATCTAAAATCTAGGATCACAGCAAAATTCCTCTGAAGTGGCTTCATTAGTAAGTAAAGCATTGTGCAAAAAGTTTCAGAAAAATTGCACAAATGAGCAAGTAGCACTCATTTCTGTGACAGTTACCTTTGAGTCCCTTTGAGTACAAACCTCCCAGTAACCCAGAAAGTCGGCATTTTTCACTGAGTCTCTAGATGAGGAACTGGTCCCCAGGGAGTAAGGACTTGCCATAGGTCAGACAGCTCAGGGGTGGCTGGGTGGAGATTTGGCAGTGTTCTTTTGAGCTCTGGTGCTGACCTGCTGCCCCCTCCTTTTCCCAGAATATGACACCATTTGAGCTCCCTAGAATATGACATCCCTTCCTGCTTCATGTGCTGTATAGTCAGGCAGTTGGGCTTATAAGGCTTCAGAGGAGCAGAGAGAGGGTGATAAAGAATTAGCCAAGGCGAGGGAGACAACCCTTCAACAAGACGAGAGCTTGTGGAGCAGGGACGATGGGACCCTGGAATTCAACTGAAGTCAGCTTGAGGCACAGGAGCACGCCCCAAGGAGGTGACTGATCTGGATGTGAGGCTTTTTGCCCTGCAGAGAAAGTGGGCATGGCATTCTAGGCTAGGGGCAAGCATGTGTGCAGGGAAGGCTCAGAGCAGGAAAGCATGCAGTATGGTTCCATCAGGCTGAGTGGAAGGCATGGCCTTGGAAGCGGGTTGCGGGTAAGCTGCCTGCCTGCTTTAGCTGCTGTTCAATCGAGCATAGCCTTGAAGTCTTTTCCAAGCAAGGAATGACCATGTCGTTCGTTCTGTTCTGTGTTCCTTCTCAGAGTATTCTGACTTAAGGGATTTGCTTTGGATCAAAAGAAATAGTCATCGCATGTCCTTCCCTGACCACAGCTGGGAGAGTCTGTGCTTTTTAAGACTGAGAGTGTGATTAGAATGGGTTCATCTGCATAATCTGGGTCAATCTCCCCATCTCAAAATCTTTAACCTTAATCACACCTGCAGAGTATTTTCTCTTGTAAGGCAACATATTCATGGTTCCAAGGATTAGCATGTGGACATCTTTGGGGGATGTTCTTCTGCCAACCACAGTTCTCACTCAGGGCGAACAAAAGCCAGGTTTCCCTGACACACAAGGCTCTTTCAGTCGGCCCCATTTGTCTCTCTCACTTCACCACGTGGCTCCCTCACTCAGCTCTTACCCTACAGCATCCTGGGTTTCTTAAAAAGCCACTGTATTCTCACTCAGGGCCTTTGCACTGGCTGTTTCCTCTGCCTAAATTATTACTCTCTTCAGCCCTTTTTCTGCCTGACTTCTTGTCATTCTGATCTCAGCTTTGATGTCACCTCAGAGACATAAACTCCAGTAAACCTTCTAGCTATTACTCTAGTTTAAATCGTCATAAAACACCTGCCATGGCTCATGGTTTTCTTGCTTGTGTGTGTGTTTGGCGCTTGTTACCCCCTCCATCTTAACTGCTACATCAGTGCAAACCTCGTGTGTCTGTGTCTCTACAACTAAATGGTATGAGGCATGTAGTAGATGCTCAGTAAACACCTGCGAAGCTAGCATCTCACGGCACTGTGGTGGGATGGCTAGGGTTTCTGCTTCTGCACCAAAGTGCCGCCAAGAGCAGTGGAGTGAGTACAGCTTTCAGATCACTGGACCTTGAAATTTCATAGTTCTTGATGAATTATTTGCATTATTTTTAATTCTACATATAAAGGGAAATGTTTTGAATATTTGTATATTCTACTTAAACTGCACAAATTCAATTCATATGAATTTCTATGGTACCGTACCTCCGTAAGGGATTTTCAGCAGAACCAACTGGGTCAGTATGAAGGATCTTTACTCTGGTGGACAGGATAATGGTTCTCTTTCTTACATGCTCCTCTGTCACCTGTCTTTCAGAAAGCATGCTCTGAATTGCCATCGGATGAAGCCTGCTCTCTTCAGTGTGCTCTGCGAGATCAAGGAAAAGACAGGTAACCCATTGAGAAGATACCTCCTGTGTGGAACCAGGACCGAGACAACCGCATGCCTCTGGTCCTGGCTCAGCCCTAGCGTGCATCGCGAGCCACTGTGCCCATCACATCCTTCTCTGGCAGCAGATGGTTCATTTCTGTCTTTCCAGAGCCCTGCTTTCTGGTGTATCACATCCATTTCTTTTGCAGTTTATAACTGGAGCAATACTGTTACCGCTGAGTAACAAGCAGCTGCATTTGTCTTAAGCAGGACCTAAGAGGTGCTGTGATATTCAGTTATTTTGGAAAAGGGAAAGATGATAGAAAAGTAGAATAATAACAGTTTTGTATTTTTAAGCATCCAAAGTAATTACTGTGGAAGGCTACTGCAAATCCTTTGTTTAAAAGAAAAAGAAAGAAAGAAAAACCCACATAACTTTTTATTTTGAATTAGTTTCACATTTGCAGAAAAGTTGAAAAAAGTAGTGCAGAGTTCCCCTCCACCCTGCTCTGAGCTTCCATCAAGGTTAGTGCGTCAGAACTGTAGTGCAATGACAGAAACCAGGAAGTTAACCTTGGCACGGTGCTCTTTCACCACTGATCAGCAGGCTTTATTGGATTTCCCCGGGTTTTGCCCTAATGCCCTTTTTCTGGCCCAGGCTCCCACGTTGCATTTAGCCATCCTGTCTTCTTAGTCTCCTTCGATCTGTGACGGTGCCCCAGTCTTTCCTCGTCGTCTGTGACCCACACTCTATTGCTGAGAACTGCTCAGTCGTTTCGTAGGGTGTCCCTCAGTGCGGTTTGTCCATTGCTTCCTCACGACTAGACTGAGGCAGTGTGTCTTTGGCGGGAATCCTACAGAAGCAACGTTGTGTTCTTTTCAGTGCGTTGTGTTGGAGGTACATGCTGTTGATATTTCCTTTCACTGGTGGTGCTGACCTTGATCACTTGGTCAAGGTTAATAACAACTGGAAGAGAGTTTACAAGAGAATCCACCAAATAAGATGAAGATATCATTGAAACCAGAGGTCATCAACAGAAAGGTTGTCACTTGATTTCTTAGAGTGAGCTGGTCTCTTGAGGTCAATTATTTGAATTTTGTATGTCACTTTGGAGCATGGCACTTCAGATATCCTGGGGCTCATGGAAAGTGTGTATGTGGTACAAAAGTGTGTTTCTTTCTGAACATGGTTTTGGGACGAGATTAGCGTGTACTCGACATGGACAGTAGCCAAAAGCAGCCATAGCGTCTGAATTCTGTTTCATCTCTGCATGACTAAATCTGGCATGTGACTGAACCTTTCTTTGTCCTCAGGCCTCCTCTGTAAATAGGGGACAGTGATAACACTTAGCTCATGATTACTGAGGACCATGTGAGTTCAGACATCTAAGGCTGTGGGTACGGCGCCAGCCTCCAGTAGTTATCTGGTGCCTAAAAGAGAAATTCAATTTTAAACCTACATTTAAGTTTCACCCAAATGCTATAACAATGTGATATTCTTTTTGTTTCCTAACGTTTGAGTTTTTTTCATTGTGGTAAAATTTACCACTTTAACCATTTTTAAGTGTACCATCCATTTCCAGAACTTCTCATCTTCCTAAACTGAAACTCTGTCCCCACTAAACAACAACTCTCCGTTTCTCCTCTGCCAGCTCCTGGCACCCACCATTCCACTTTCTGTCTTTATGATTTTGACCACTCTCAGTACTTCATATAAGTGGAATTGTACAATGTTTGTCCCTTTGTTTCTGGCTTACCTCACTCAGCATAATGTCTTCAAGATTCATCCATTTGTAGCATCTGTCAGTTTCATTCCTTTTTAAAGCCGAATAACATTCCATTGTGTGGACGGACCGCATTTTGCTTATCCATCATCTGTTGTAGAACATTTGGATTGTTTTCCACTTTTCGGCTGATGTGAATAATGCTGCTGTCAACATGCATGTACAGGTGTTTTCAGGTTCCTGCTTTCAGTTCTTTAGGGTATACACCCAGGAGTGAGATTGCTGGGTCATATGGTAATTCTCTTTAACTTTTTGAGGAACCGCAAGACTGTATTCTGCGGCGGCTGCACCGTTTTACAGTCATATTAGCAGTGCATGAAGGTTCCAGTTTCTCCACATGCTCAGCAACACTTGTTA